ACACAGATTACACAAAGTAACAAGATTCCTATGGTTTCACAATAATACGCTATTCTAGAACCCTAGGATTCTGTGAGAATCGTGTTCTCAGGTCAAGGGAAGAAACTAGAATAAGAGTCCGGGTACAAGTCTAAAATAATATGAGATTCAATAACAACGTTCGACAAATAAATCTAAAAACAATAAATAAGTAATTTCACTTAGAAATTAAATGGATAATGACAAATAATCCTAGGTCTACCAACAAGCAATGGTTACCAAGCAATGGCAACCCCCAATCCTAATGATCACCCCACACGATGATTTGCTAGTGCGATAATGTAAATGTTTCATCCAATTTACCAGTGCGGAGCTTTCTGAGTCCGTAATTTATGAGAGATGCGAATTTACTGCTTTAGGCCGCAATTTATAGCCTAAAGTAATTTAGTAAATGTATATGGCAATTCCGAATGTTGACCTTTCGAGGGCAAAATCGTCCAACTTTTGCTGCAGTACCTGAAGCGAAAAACTAACAACACACGAAGGTTAGAAATATCAAAGTAAAAGTTCTGCCTGAAGAAACCTTCGCCGGATTCTGCTCCACGCGCCACCGTCGGATTGCCCACGTGCCGCCGCACGCGCCGCTGCCGACCACCACGCGCTGTCAGCTTTTCCTCCACTGGCTGAGTCCGAATCTGGCCTCCGTTTCTTCTTCAGGTAAGCCGTCTGTCTGGAAATTGGATTTGCAGATCCGATTTTTTCAAAAAATTCACTGTCCTTCTTCCCGTTTCTGCTTCTGCGTTTTTCTTCAGTTCTGATTTCCCACCAAGCTTTGATACCAATTTGTAATTCTAATTCCACCTACAATTGAACAAATCAACGAATTAGGTTATGGAATTACAATAAATAAATGAAATCAAACTAAGAATCTAAAAAATGAAGAACAATAAGAACAATGTATTCTCCTTTCGTTTAGGCTCAGAAAAACTGATCCACCACCACAAAGGTATCACCAAACCCGGAGAAAACAAAAGAGCGCACCAAGGCACGGAGGAACAGAAGCTGATTGCAGAAAGCAGGAAGAAGGTTTCAAGCACAGAGC